AAACAAATTTTATTAATTTTCAAAGACAATACACAGACAAACAAAACATAAAACGTAAGAACTTAGAACATCTTTTCTAAGAACTACTTAACAAATAAAACATCTTATTTAAGTACAACATAATTCTAAATTATCACATTTCCATACAAACACAATTTAATATTCATCTTATGTATTCAACTTCATATCTTATTACTCTTTTTCCAACTTCTGACTGTTTCTTCCTTTACTTCTGTTCAATTTTATTCATTAAACTTATACTTTCATCTATTTCATATTACTATATTTCATATTATTACTGTTTCATATGTTCTTATCCAACATTATTAATTCTCAATAAACAAACATAAACAAACAAAATACATAACATAAAGACATAAAACTTCTTTTTAGAAAGGGGCTTAACCCCGGGTTAAATAAGATATCAAATAGTATATCAGGTGAGCATGAATTTGATTTATGTCTGTATAAGCTGTTATTGAAGGAACTGCTTAAAAGTAGTTCCTCGCTGGAGTGAAAAGTCTGAGAAATGTCCAGTGTGGTGGATCCCTTTGCTGGGGCAGCTCCCCAGAGATCTCACCTGTCCAACTTCAAGCTGTCCCAAAGGTGCTTTTTCAAGAGGCAACTGGACTTTCTGCTTTTTCTTTGAAGACGTTTCATTTCTTATCCAAGAAGCTTCTTCTTCGTCAGAGCTGAAGAAGCTTCTTGGAGGAGAAGTGAAACATCTTCAAAGAAAGAAAAAAACCCCAAAACTCCAGTTGCCTCTTGCAAAAGCACCTTTGGGACAACCGGATGACCCAAGCATTTTAGTGAGGGGTCCTCGGTGCTCCTTGAACTTGGTTGTTGGAAGGGAACTCGGAGGTCTTCTAGTCCAACCCTCTATTTAAGCAGGAGACTCTATACCATTTCAGACAAATGGCTGTCCAGTCTTTATTTAAAAGCCTCCAGTGATGGAGCACCCACAACTTCTGAAGGCAAGCCTGTTCCACCGGTTGATTGTCTCCACTGTCAGGAAGTTTCTGCTTAGTTCTGGGTTCTAATTCCAGGTTGCTTCTCTCCTTGATTAGTTTCCATCCGTTGCTTCTTGTCTGGCCTTCTGGTGCTTTGGAAAATAGCTTGACCCCTTCTTCTTTGTGGCGGCCCCTCAAATATTGGAACATTGCTATCATGTCTCTCCTAGTCCTTCTTTTCATTAAACTAGACACACATACCCAATGCCTGCAACTCCATAACATCATCCTTGCTAGCGACAGGATTAGCACTGATGACGTTACCTAGTTTGGGTAATGAGACGTCTTTAAGAAAACAACCAAACTCAGAGAGCACCAAGGATTCCTCATTTAACCCTAAGCTATCAATATACTCCTTTATTGGAAGCACTTTAATCTTTCCTCTGTTTTTTCCAAATTTTTTATTTCCCTCCCTCCCTCTCTCCCTCCTTCCCTCCTTCTCTCTCTCTCCCCCTCCCTCTCTCCCTCCCTCATTCTCTCTCTCTCTCTCTCTCTCTCTCCCTCTCTCTCATTAGATGCTAACAAATTGGGTAACAGTCTCTGTTATGTCCTGAGGACTCAAGGAGTTCTCACTCTGGTCCACTCACTTTGTGTGGGCGATATTCCCCCATTCCCATTGGTTGGTTCTCCCCAGCAGCCAGCTATAAAAGCAGGCTGCGGGGTCCAACTGGTTGCTGATTGCTGCGAGCCAGTTCCAGGCTTGGCAAGCACGGTCAGCCCTTTATTTGTAAAATAAAGTACTGTTGCACTCATGCTCTGGTTCAGCCTCTCATTGCTCAAACTTAACAGTCTCTGTCTTTGCGGGCTGAGTGGTTCTGTATTCCTTTGTGTGACCTTGTAATGGCTGGTGACTCTCACAGGACAGTCTAAATTCATGCTTAGTTTCGATACCTCTCGTGCTAACCCCCCCCTTACCCCACCCCACAATTCTCCCTCCCCGTTAAACATGGCAGGCTAACCTAGCAGATTGACAGGCTAGCGTAGCAGATCGACAATCCATCTTAGGCAACCTCTGGGTGAATGGGTAGAGCACACGAAATACAGCTGAACCACCAGTGATGAGTAGGATTGCTATTCAGAAGATGCCAAACGGGTGACATGACGAAGCATGCTTGAGTGTCCTCCCCTGTGGTCACACATCCCTGACACTTTTGGAAACCATGGACCAGGTAGAATTTCCTGTTATTTTAATGCTACAGGTTGTTGTTTTCTTTTAATTGCAATTGCCTTGATAAGCTTTGGGTTTCCGTGCATGGAGGTGGAAACAGAACCTCACCCAATTCCTCCTGGTTTTTTCCATCTGCCACTAAAAAAAAAAACCCCAAAAATCAGAACAACAAAGGAAGCTGTTAACTTCATCAGACTTTACATGACACACCAAACCAGGCTGAGAGCATAGGAGGAATAATGCGAGGAAGGGTTTGAAGCGTTGGATTTTAAGAAGTCGCAAGATCCTAGTCCATCTTCAGCCCTGAAAGCTCCTTGATGTCAGGCCTGCCTCAACTCCGTCTTCTAAGTAAAGACGATCCTTAACTCCGGTTTGTTGAGAAAGGTATAGTTTACTAGAAGTCCAGTGAATTACAGTGGTGAGAAGCCCGTACGGAGGCTTCATGCCAAATTTTCCCAATTAAATTTCCTCCCTTGGTCGTTTCCTATTGCTTGCCTCTTGTTGTCCAAACAAATTTTAAAAGAGATGTTTTGGAAACAGTTCAGAGGTGGCATTCCTCGGGTTCTGACCCGTTCTGGAGAACCAGTAGTGGAAATTCTGAGTAGTTCGGAGAACTGGCCAATCCCACCTCTGACTGAGCCAATCC